CAGGAATAATGAGTGATGGACACAATCTAAATGTGAGCTGTCAAATTTTAGGAAGAATAAAAACCTCTAATGTTTTATTCCTCTCCAAGCTGTGCCTTCATCTTTGTGCCAGCTCTGGTAGACATCAGTGTAGTCCTTCCTCCTTCTAAAGGTTAGGGGGTTTTATTTACAAATGCCAGGGGCTGCCTGAACTCCTGGCTCCATGAAAATAAATGCCAGACTCCAGCAGGACTCAGCCAGGGCCAGGATGTCACCTTCTGCCTCCTGAAGGTACAGCCATTCTGGGCTGCAGCTGTGGATTATTTTCTATAAATGTAAATAGATGAATGCCAGGACAAACATTTCTCTCCCAGACAAGCCTTATCCATGTGGGATCTCCAGCCAGATGTGCTCTCACCCAAGCTGCTGGTACAAGGTGAGCTGGCTGCACTGCACACTCAGGCTGCCAGCCAGGCAAGACCTGAGCCTTTCCACTGCCTCGGATAAAGAGAAGCCACAGGCAAGGTTTGAAAGCAAAGGGAGGATGAGCGTGTCCTTTTGAAGCTCTTGCTTTACAGCTTCAGCCTGGATGTCCCAGAGCTGAGTGCTGGCTCCATGGCTGGCACTGCCAGTGCTGCAGGACTCATCCTGCCCCCTCTGCTTTGGGTGAGCCTGGTGGGGAAGATGAAACAGGAAAGCCTTATAAATATGATTGTCTGGCAAAAGATTTTGAGAATATGGAAACTATAAGTGAGATTGAAATGAAAGCAAGCTTTGAGATACCTCAGTTACTGAACAACTGCAAAACAATGGTGTGGCCAGCTGAAGGTAATCTCCTTTTGATGGAACAACACCCTCTGCTTGCAGACAGGCCCAAGGGTCTGAGCAGACCCTACAGCTTGGCAGAAGGGGCCCAAAGAGACGTTTTTAGGGTTTAAAATGTAACACAGTATGGTTATGTAATGATTCTTACAGGCTGTATGTAAATGCTATAGGATTTGTATCTTGTACTAGATTGGTTAGTGAGAATTAGAATATTCAACACAGAAGAAGATTTATGGTGTTGTAATGGGAACCTCGCTCTCTTAGCTCTTGCCCTGTTTATTCTCTTACCCCTTTTGCTCTCTTACCCTCTCATCCTCTCTCCCCCTCTCTTCTCTCAGCCTGCTCTGAGCTGTGGCTGCAGCTCCCAGCAGGGCCCTGCCCCCAGGCCCTTTGCAATAAACCCCAAGTTCCTGACCTGGCTGCAGAGATCTTTGTCTCCATCCCGACTGTCCTACCCCCGATGCTCCTACATGAGCCCATGTGGAGGAGCTGTCCTGGGTGTTTTATCCCTCCCTAATGCCCAGTTCAGCTGCACAACAATCAGATCTTTCAAGCTTTGGAGGAGGAAAGCACAGCCCTGGGCTATGAACTGAAGCTGGGAGCTCACAGCAATGTGGGGATCAGCTCCGGGAGCTGAGCAAATTCTCCAGGGAGCTTGGGCAGCATTTCCATCCCAAAACATGGCCCAGCTTGGGTGCTGCTCACACAGCATGAAATGAGAGAGAACACATGGGGAAAACCCCAAATCAAACCAAAACTGCCCCAGCACAGGCACTGACCCACAGCAAAGCCCAGTGGCTGCAGCTGGGGATGTGTGAAAGGCAGTGCCCACACAGCCACTGCAGGGTTGGGTGAAAAGCTGATAAAAAGCTGTGGTGATGAGCAGCAGCTCCCTGAGCAAGCCTGCCTCAGCACTGAAATTAAAAGCTGTTACAGCAAAAGACAGTGGAAGATGCTGAAGGCAACTCAGCAGGGCCAAGGCCATGGTGCTTGTCAATGAAATAATGTCACAGCACTCAGAGCCCAGGGAGCTCAGTGTTCTCACTGAGCCCATCTCAAACACAGACTCACAGAGCTGAAAGAGCCTCTGCAAGAGCCTCCCACTGCCCCTTCAGAGGCTGCACACACAGCCTGGGAATCTCAGCTCTGAATCTGTGCCTCAAGTGCACAGAGCAACAAGTGCTGCATCTGGGGCTGCTTTCCACAGGGATTTCAAATTCCAGCAGGAATGGCCAGCTCTTCGTGTATCCAACACGGTTATTCCAGAATGTGAAATAAAATATGCAACTTTCAAAGCTTCTGTGTGTGAGAGCTCCTATGGCAACACAGTTAACATCAACTCCAGCAGGGAAAGCCCAGAAATCTGAAATTCCACATGAAAGAACTGCTCTACTTTCTGCCAGCCCCCTGCCACACATCAGCCGTGCTGTTAGGTCAGTCTTGTGCTGCTGGGCATTTTCAGCAGGCCTGGGTTACAGTATTGGGGCAAATTCAGCTCTCTGGACCCAGTTCTGGGATTCTTATCTACAATTAGCCAGGAAAAAAAATAAAAAAAACCCCAAAAACTGAGCTTTGCTTAAGTAAAAAGTAAGGAGGAAACTTTGTATAGACCTGCCCTTAATCACTGCTATTTGAAAAACCCACACAAACTTTGTGTCAGAGCTGGGAAGCGAATAAAGGAGCAGCACAAGGGGAACTGATCATCAGGAGGTGCAACAAAATCAATTTTCTGGGACTTAAAGTAAGAAATCTCTTTCACCTTGACTTAGGGATGTCTGTGGACGGAGAAGGAGAGATGGAGGTTCCCCTTCTTCCGTAAAAGCTCCCTGGAAATGCTGCTGTGCCCTGACTCTGTCCTGGCAGGCACCTGCACAGCTGGGAGTTCAAGGAGATGCTCTGGAAGATGACCATCAAAAGCTGAACCTTTTGGGCAAACGTCCCAATGTCCAGAAGAACTGAGGGAGAGGAAAAGAACTCCAGCATGGAGAAAACAGGCTGAGGAAAAGCAGCACCAACACTTGCTCTGTGTGTGCTGTCTGTATCCCTAAGGTGAATGTTTGCATCCTGAGGCTTAGCAGCAGAATACTTTTATTTTATGCTAAAATGAAGAAATCCTCTTTCTGCTGACAGGGGACCTTGCAGTTAGCAGCTTCCACAGGGCTGGTGTCACTCCCAGCCCAAGCTGGGCTTTAAAGCCTGCACTGTGAGCTGCTGCTCCCATCAGCAGTGAATTGCTGCAGGTTAATGGGCTCATTGCACAGCACTCATAAAAATGCCTCCAAAAACCAGCACAGGCAAAGCAATCTGTTTGAGGTCCAGAACAGGCAGAAAATCCAGCAGACAAATTGACTGAAAACAAGACATTGGCTCGTGCACTAACAAACAAAAAGCATAAAGGTTATTACAATTACTGCTGGCAATTGCTCCCCAGATCACACACAGAGCTGCTCAGTACACAACAGCTTCCCTCTGTCTCCATTTCTACCCATTTTTATTCCATCCTGCCAGGATTTCTGTCTCAGACTCTGATCTACCTGGAGCAAAAGCAGGGATTCACTCACTGCATGCTCCTCCACCATGTGGGCACAGCTTCTTTGGCTGCTTAGTTTTGTACACACTGCCTCAAAACAAACAGAAATGTACAAAAAGCAAAGCATGGATCACTGGCCTTGTACCAAACCTTCAGACCAAAGAAGTTAAAAGAAGATGATACTGAGTTCTCTATGCAGCACTTTTTGGTTGTATTTTAATGACACTTGGGAACATTCTCAGTTGGTAGCACTTTGCAAAGCTCCAGGGCAGACATCAGGGTGAGCTGCTGCCTGCTGAGAGAGTGGCTCATTGAGCCCAGCTTTGGAAATCAGCCCTGCTGCCTAACCAGCTATGAAAGTGTGGCTGTTCCACCCTGGCAGTGCCTAAGGCCAGGCTGGACAGGGCTTGGAGCAGTCTGGGACAGTGGGAGGTGTCCCTGCCATGGTAGGGGTGGAACAGGATGGGCTTTAAGGTCCCTCCAACCCAACCCATGCTGTGATTCCATAACTCTGTGAAGAAGCCACAGCACACAGTGGTCTCAGCCTCACTCAGGCCTGGGGGGCACAGCGCATTTGATGGGAAGAGAATGTGGTTTTTAAACTGACATCATGTTTTCCATGGCATCAAGGCAAAGATCCACCCCCAGAAAGTGCCTGCTATCTTGCTGTTCAATTCCTAATGATTTATAATTCCTCTAATAAGGGATTTGCATAAAAGCCCTGGCTGTTTTAAATGCTGCCTTATTTTATGCCTTAAAAGCATGGAGCAGATTTATCTTTTACGAGTAGTCAGACTCTTTATGGCTCTTGCTTCTGCTTGAAAGCCACAGTGACTGCAAATCAACAACACTAAGCCTCCTTTTCCTGCACACAAGTGGGATAAACCTTTAGGCAAATTGCTAAGTGCACTGCTAAACCCCTAAGCTTTCATGGCATTGATTCTCACAGAGTCATGGTAATCCCCAAATCTGGTTGAAATGGCAGAAAAGTTCTCATGCTACATCATTTTCAAAATTAAAATTTCATTGTGAACAAGAATTTGCAGGTTTTGCCATTCCCTGGAATTGTGTCTCAAGGGTTTTGTTCTTTTACAAATATTAGGAAAAGAGCACAATTGTCCAAAGGCTGGTGCTGCTGTGGGAAAGAAATAAACAAAACAAAAGATATAGGAATCAGGTCATATCCAGTGCTGCTTTGAAAACCCACTCTAAATATTTACACCAAGGTAGGAAAGGCTGGTAAAGGGCTAAAAGCAACATTGGGTGCCCTCAAGGAATAAATTCCCCCAATTAGTATAAGGAATACTTGTAATATTTCATTTGGTGGAATATTTGTTATGGAGCACTTGCTAATCTGACAGAAGTGAAAGGTTAATTATTATTCAGCTTCTGGACAGCAGTGAGTGCTCCTGCAGACATTTCCAGGCAGGCAAGAGATTGGAAGCACTTGGGTTGGAGAGGTGCTGTGTCCTTGGAGCTCACACACTTCCCTGGAAATCCACAGACATTAAAATCACAGAATATTCTAATATTAGAAGCATTTGTTTTCAAACTCTGTTTAAATCCTTTGCTAAAGCAAATGAGAATATCTGTTAACACTGGAAAAACAACTTTTACTGGACCTGATCAAAAAAATACCAGAAGCCCAAGCACTTGTGTACAGTACCTGAGGGTCAGGATTAACAGCAGTGATGTTACTGAGCAGGACAGAGGGAACTGCAGGAACAAGCGGGCACAGCTGCTTTTGGAAATGACTGGCCAGTTCATCTCTCCACCAGATAACATCTGGAAGCCATGTAGAGGTGAGAAAAGCAGAAATCTTCTGGTAAAAGCTGGGTGTTCCCTGGAGATGTTCTGCAGTCTGCAAAGAGCCAGTGGTTAAAAAGCTTTGGTGATGGTTTCAGAAACTCTGTCTGCACCTTGCAGCTTCAGCAGCTCCTCCTCTGCCCAAGCCACCCCAGACCCCAGTTCCACCCAGCTGCCCCCAGATTCTCCAAACCAACCCCTGGTGTGACACCCTGTACCCTTCATCCCATCCATCAGCTCTCAAACCCTGCTCCAAAGCAGATCCCACCACCCTCAGAGGGGGAGAAAATCCCATAAACAGGACCATGAACCAGCCCAACACAATGAAACATTAACTTCCAAAGTCTTTCTCAGGGATATAAATGAAAACAGGTGTTGGTGCCCCATCCCTGGAGTGTTCAGTGCCAGGGTGCAGAGAACACTGAGCAATCTGGTCCAGTGCAAGCTGTCCCTGCCCATGGCAGAGGGTTGGAATTAGATGAGCTTTAAGGTCCCTTCCAACCCAAACCATTCTGGTTTTTTTCAAGATTGAGGCTAATATTAATTCTGATACATTAATATTGAATACTGCACTGCTAAACTACAGTTTTCCATCATTTAACCTCCCCTCTAAGCCTCATTGTTCTTCAGGTTGATTCTTAATTAGCAAGACTTTCAGAGAATAAAACCAGTGACCTCAAGGAGACCTAATTAGAAATTAACAGACTCAGCAACTGTGCAGAACATATCTCCACCAGTAACTCACAGGGAAGAGAAGGAACTGCTGCAGCCTCACCTCAGCTCTGGGGCAGGTGTGGGTGCCACAATATCAGAAGGATCTGAAGCTGTTGGAGTGTCCAGAGGAGGGACCTGGGCATGGGGAGGGTCTGAGGAGCAGCTGAGGGCACTTGGATTGTTCAGCTGGAGGAGGAGACTGAGGGCAGAGCTCGAGGGGCTGCAGCTCCTCCCCAGGGGCAGCTCTGATCCCTGTGACAGGGACAGGGAATGGCTGGAGCTGGGCAGGGCAGGGCCAGGTTGGATTTTGGGAAAGGTTCTTCCCCCAGAGGTGCTGGCACTGCCCAGGCTCCCCAGGGAATGGGCACAGCCCCGAGGCTGCCAGAGCTCCAGGAGAGCTTGGACAGTGCCCAGGCACAGGGTGGGAGTGCTGGGGCGTCTGTGCAGGGCCAGGGTGGGACTGGATCATCCTTGGGATTCCTCCCCACTCAGGACATTCCATCACTCTGTGATTATTGCACCTAAAAAGTGAAGCTCAAGGAGGAAAACCCCAAATCAAAGGACAGAGATTGGGAGCTCCTCTGAGCCTGCAGAGAATGAAGGGATGGAGGGGCAGAGAGGAGCCCCAGAGCTGCCCACAGCTCTGCCAGTGGGATAACTGGGAATGCCTGGCACAGAGCAGAGGCTGCACAAATCTCATTCCCATGCACAAATCTCATTCCCATCAGACATGGAACTGCAGCCTGTCCATCAGCACACAGGAATTACAGGAGGTGAGTGTTTTGGCATTTCTTCTGACAACAAGAAGCCAAGACCAGGCAGGGATGTTGAAATCTGCCTCACTTCTAGCAGCTGTTTGGAGAAGGACAGAAATAAAATCACCCCCAAAAAAACTGATAAAAATGAGAGGAAACAGCAGAACCACTGGGTATAGGAATAGATGCCATACCATTTGAATAAGCCAAAAGACTTCTTGATGTGCAAAGAACAGGAGCTTTTGCCTGGAGAAGCTACTATTATAATTCTATTTATAACTATTAGACCTTGGGGCAGAGAACCAGAATGTGATAAATAATAAAAGATACACAGATGACAGTGAAGTGGTCAGTAATTAAGAAATTGATGGTTCATAGCCCCCTTTTGGGGCTGGAAATGGACTCTGGGCTCTACAGATTAGTATTAAAACATAATTTGTCATCATGGTTAACATTTACAGATACTTGGTCATTTTTGCATAATCAAAAAAAAAGTAGCTTAAGGTCTCCCTAAATTCTTATAGCAAACACATGCAACAAAGTACCTGGAAACCCAATCATATTTTAAAGTTAAGGCCTGAAAAGTGTCCTTTTGTGCCCACAGGAGACAACTGGAACAAGAACCAGTAAGTGCCCCAACAGGATGTTGTTTTTCAATTCAGCCACTGACACTTGCACATTGACAGGATAGTGAGAGGCTGAGGTTGCAGTGTGAAGAACAAAGCCCACATTTCTCTCCACAGCAGCTGAAGCTGCCCAAGGGCAGGAACAGAGAGCCTTGCTGTCGTTTTCCTTGTCTCTGCTGGGGCTGACATCCCAACTCATGTTGTTCCTCCCAGCTCTGATCTCTGCTGGGGAAAGCAGCAGCTCTACAAATGCCTCAGGAAAGAAAGATTGACACAAGTCAGTGCTAGCACAAAGAGCCTCTAATGAGGGACAGGAAACCCAAGTCCTGCTTGGAAGAGCTGCCCCAACACCTGAAATGTCACTGCTGTGCAACAGAGCTGAGCTCAGGAGTTTGTCATGATCAGGGTGGGCAGCCCTGGCACAGGGTGCCCAGAGCAGCTGTGGCTGCCCCTGGATCCCTGGCAGTGCCCAAGGCCAGGCTGGGCAGGGCTGGGAGCAGCCTGCGATGGTGGAAGGTTGTTGTTCACAATGTGAACTGGCAACTTCCAAATAAATACATTTTTTAAAAGACTTTTACCATGAATGCATTCCCACAAGAGTTACTAACACTTTACAACAAAGACAAGACTTTTTAAGTATAGACAAGGACAGTAATAGAATTCTTAGACTTTCAGTTTTCCCAACTATCATCTCAGCAAATTGTAATGAAGAGCTGATGATTTCAGCTCTTACTTACAATGCTCCAATGGTAATTCAACCAAAACCAACAATGGCTATTGCTGTTGCATTACCAATGAATATAAATAAGCAAGTTGTATACTAAGGAATGCCTGTTAAGAGTTTTAGCCCAGTACCTAATGTCCTTTAGATAAAATATGCTTTAAGAATTCTCTACAAATTTATTTCTTTCTCACATTAGGTGTCCCAGCTTCTTGCAGGGATTGGGAGTGGATGGCCTTGAATGGCCCCTTCCAATCCAAACCATTCTGTGATTCCATGAGAAGAACTGGAGAAACTACACAGTTTGTTCCACCAGGTTGTGATTTAACCCTTCCCAGCTCCAACCAAACACTCAGGACAGCCTGAGCCCACAGCTCCAGAAGTTCATTCTCTTCTGTAACCCTGAGGAAATATTTTGAGCATAATCAGTGCTCAATAATTTTGGTGCTTTGGCCAAGCCCTCAGCTGGAATCAGCAGAGAGCAGGTCAGGATCTGTCCCTCCATTCCCTTTGCTCCACACAGGAAACACCTTATAAGAATTTGGGGAGAATTTATAAGAATTTAGGAAGACCTTAAGCTACCTTTTTTGGATTATATAAAAAATACCAAGTATCTGTAAATGTTAACCATGATGACAAATTATATTTTAATACTAATGTGTAGAGCCCAGAGTCCATTTCCAGCCCCAAAAGGGGGCTCTGAGCCATCAATTTCTTAATTACTGACCACTTCACTGTCATCTGTGTATCTTTTCTTATTTATCACATTCTGGTTGAATTCAATTGCCAACACCAAGTCCTTGTCCAGTCCAGCAGAGCCTGAACTCTTCAGCCTCTGCTCAAAGTAGAAAAGCTGCTCATTGTTTTGGGCTGGGCTTTTTTTGGTAGTGTTTTAATCATGACATTTGGTGCCAGCATCCATTATTTATTTTCAGGATCACTGGAGCCACAGCTGTGAAACTCCAGGTTTTGTGATACAACATGGGAAATTCAATTTTTGCTGCTCCCAGGCAGCAGCTGCAAGTGAAGGGGATGCTGAAGTGTGTTTTAAAACCATGTTCACACATCCTGATCCATTTAGGCTCCCCACGGTGTGGCCAGCAGGTATAACACAGAGATCTGGGGATGAAACAGGCAAACCAGGGTAGAAAATCCACTGAAGGCACAGAAGTTGTTTTGAGCCACCTGAGAGGAACTCAGCAGAGCACAGGACAGCACCTCCAGGGTTCCTCAGCCACAGGACAGATATTCAAGCAAGTGGCTCTCAGATCTGGGGGACACAGGGATTGCTGCTCCCCACATCCACCTGGCCACACTGCTCAGGTAAAACAGGGATTTACACCAGGCAAGAGTGGCAATACTACCTAAAAAGCTGTCTCCAAAAAAGAAACAGGTACAAGATGCTGCAGCCTGTATCAAACCAGCTCTGTGAAGGACAGAACAAACACAGCAGAGCCCAGAGCTGCAATTTCACAGCTCTGTGTTCAGGACAGGAGTTCAAATCATGTTTTACATCCCATGTACTCACAGTTCACCTCATGTTTTACATCACATGTGCTCACAGTTCACCTCATGTTTTACATCACATGTGCTCACAGTTCATCTCATGTTTTTCATCACATGTGCTCACAGTTCACCTCATGTTTTACATCACATGTGCCCACAGTTCAACTCATGTTTTACAACACATGTGCTCACAGTTCATCTCATGTTTTACAACACATGTGCCAATCCCAGCCTGTGTGCAGGACCTGCCAGGTTTATTGCACAGCTCAGGCTCTGGGGACCACTAAAATTGAGGGCACAGTTTCATGTCCTGCTTCCAGGCCTCAGCTCCTGGCACTCAAATAAAAATAATCCCTCCTCCTATGCCACACTCTTCACATGGTTAATATAAAGGAGGAAAAAACAGAAGAGGTGCCAAAAGATGTGTCTCCTCCAAATGCAGCTCAATCTCTGCAGTGTGAGGTTACAGCTAATGAGCAATTGACACAAAATGATGCCACAGAGAGCTGGTTTCTGGTCTGCACATAACCTAAAAGCAGCATTGCTGAATTATGCCCTTTTCTGACTCAGAGATGGGGCAACTGAGAGGCATTTAAAATTTTTTAATTCTATTTTCTCATGTCTCATGTGAAGGGTGAGACAATGTAGATGAAAAATTCACTCCGTCACAATTAGATGCCATGACCTGACTGCAGCACAAGTGAGGACAGCTTGGGTTGGCAATCAGCTGTAAAAGCAATTCCTCACTGGGCTGTTCCCCATCCCAGTCTGGGCAGCCCTTCCACTGTTCCATCCTGCCCTGCTGGGATTTCAGCCTGAACTGGCACATCCAGCCTGGTGCTCAGTGCACAGCAGTGCCTGCACAACTACCAGGTGTAAAAGCTGCTACTCACTGCTGCCTCATGCCTCTGGGCTGGAGGTTCCTCTGGTGCCACCAGGCAGGCATACAGGGCCAAGCCTTCCTCTGTCCAGGCCTGCTGCAGCCCCACCACCTCAAATGGAGCTTTGGGACCATCCTTCCTCTTCACAGGGGGCACCTGGAAATCCATTGGAACACAATTCCATTTTTAGATGGACTGAAAAAAACCCTTTAACTTGCTCTGTTGCTTTTGAGTAGAGCCCCACAACAAGCCAGGGAGAACTCTGCTTTGATTAGTAGATTAGCTGTGGTTTAGCCAGTAGAAAAATCAATAAAGACCAAATTAAATAGGAATAACACATTGCTTTTGATAAGCCACGGGATTTATTTTCACAATGAGGACTTGCAGGCTCTGACTTCCACCAGTTTCACTGTGTGGAAGGAGGAATTCACATTATTTCCCTGGGCCAGCAGGGGTGAGCACAGAGCCCCTGCCGAGGCTGCCCAGAATGTTCCTGTCACAGCAGCACTGTGTGTGCCTTCATCAGTGACACTGAGATCAATCCAATCCCAGCTCCAAATCAATGCAAAGGGATGATGCCATGCCCAGGGGCTGCTGCAGGCTCCCCTAAAACCCAAAGTGACAGCCCAAACCCCAGCAATCCCCATCCTGTGAATCCCCTTTTAGTTGGGCTGAGGGGATTTCTTTTTCATGGATTTTTTTGTGCACATGTGTGTGGGAGGCAAACATTCTATTTTCCAGTTTATAGATCTGATTTAAAGCAGAAAGGGTAAAAAGTGACTTCTGCAACCCCAAGACATTAATTATTATTGTGAATATCAGTTTAGATCCAGGGAGAAGGTTCCAGGGGGACAGACTATGCCCTGGCTCTTTAGGTTGCTCAAAGTCAAATAAAACATGATACACTTTAACATGCAGAATACATGAAAATCTTGATCATAAATTAGAAAAGAGAGAGGAGAGACACCTGAAATAGCCTGGGAAGGCCCTGGGATGCTGCAAACTGTCCAGGGCAGCTGGTGAAAAGGGGCAGAAAACTGGGAAAGCCAGACACAGGGAATCAGCAAAGCCAGGAAAGGAAAAGCAGAGGTACCTGATCCAGAACATGCTCTGGATGGAGAGCAAGGCAAGTCTGAGCTACAGGACTGTCATTCCCTCCCAGGGCTCTGGTGGCTACAGAAATTCCAAGTCTTGTTCTCCTGGTTTATATCATCACCAGTCTCTTGGTGCATAATCAGCTCTATTTACTGCATTTACAGGGAGATAAAGGCCTTTAAAAACATGTTTTTAACACAGGGCCAAGCTGGATTTTCAAACTACTGCACAGCTGAGCTGGATCACTCAAAACACCAGCACCAAATCCTCCACTGGATTCCCATGGGGAATTCTGCACCATCCAGGGGACCACAGCTCCCAGCTGGCAGCATCCAGCACATCTCCCATGGAATCAGCAAGAAAATGCTGATTTACACAAGCCAGCCCATGGAATTGCATGGATTATCAGATGAGAATTTGGTCTAAAAATGCCTCAACATTTCCAATTGCCACACACATGTTTTATGAAAAATCCTTTCCTTAGGATTTTTTTTCCTGAGAAGCTGGGAGGCCTCAGGAACAAAATGTAAACAATGGTTATCTGCTGCTGTGGAATGCAACAGGTGCATCTGGGATTGGTCTCATGTGGTTGTTTCTAATTAATGGCCAATCACAGTCAGCTGGCTCAGACTGTCTGGGTCAGTCACAGGATTTTGTTATCATTCCATTTCTCTTCCTTTGTTTGCTAGCTTTCTGATGAAATAATTTCTTCTATTCTTTTAGTATAGTTTTAACAATATATGTCATAAAATAATAAACCAGCCTTCTGAAACATGGAGCCAACGTTCTTGTCTCTTCCTTCATCCTGGGACCCCTGCAAACACCACCACATCCAATTCTTTCAGTGAAAGAAATGCAAACTTCTTCATTGCTATCCAACAGCCATTTCAGAGCCTATAATAAAATTGTAGATTTTACCCCAGTTTTTCTTGGGCACAAAATCCATCTGAACATGTGAGCCTGCACCCAGCAGAGTGACACAGCCCTGGAAGCTGAGGAACCCTTTCAGGCTCAGAGAGAATTGCTATAAATCAGAGCTCAGTTGTGGTTTTTTAAATGGCAATAACACAAGGGAAGAGAGCTCCCACTGCAGCTGGTCACAAGCTAAGGAGTCTGAAAGGAAAATTCAGGATGCAGGGCTGTTCCAGTGGCAATTTTCATTAGCACTGAACTAACACTAAAGAATGTTAGCAATGTTTTAATGCAAGCATGAATATCATTAACAATTAATTGTGTTTAAGTGGGGTTTAAGTGATTTAAAAGCCTGGCTGCTCAGGGTGAAATCTACCTTGACTGTGTGGATCAGTATTGGTTTCCCAGAGTTTTCTCTGGGAAAAGAATAAGGCCACTGAGCAGGGTGGGAAGGAAAAATATACATTGGGTAGGGAAAATACACTGTTTTCCCTAGGGAATAAAGGATGATATGGATGGGAAGGAGAGAGGATGGGGTGGTTTCTTCAGAGGAGAAAAACAAAGGACAATTAAGGCAGATCCTCATTTGTTCAGAGCACTCTTGACTATCAGGAAGGGTCTGCTCTTATCTAGAACAAGTGGTGAAAACCAGGAACCTGTGTCCACTGCCAAGGACAAAGCCCAACAGCCAGCAGTCACTTTGAACCACTGAAAATCCTGCTCAGCAATCTTTCACTGGTTCACAAACTCCAGACACAACCCAGCTCCACCAACTCCAGCGACACTTTTATTTGCAGACTCCGAGGTGAATTAAAACATAATTTCCACTTTGTTCTGCCACTGCTTTGTAGCTTTTGGGTGGAAAAAGGAGATTTCAGGGGTGATTACGTATTCAGTGGAGGCCCAAACACAGCCCTCATCACCCAGAACCTTTAGTGGCAGGTCACTGCATATGACCATGTTCACAGGGGTTCTTGGACGAGGCAAGAGACGAGAATGTTGACTCGATGATCAGAAGGCTTGATTTATTATTTTATTTTATATAAATATATTACATTATAACTATACTAAAAAGAAAAGAAAGGAAAAGGTTTCCTCAGAAGCTAGCTAAGCTAAGAATAGAAAAGAAAAGAATGATAACAAAAGGCAGCTCTCTCAGATTCTGTCTGAGACAGCTCCGTCTTGATTGGCCATTAATTATAAACATCTAAGAGGGGCTAATCACAGGTGGACCTGTTGCATTCCACAGCAGCAGATAATAATTGTTTACATTTTGTTGCTGAAACTGCAGCTTCTCAGAAGGAAAAATCCTAAGAATGGATTTTTCATAAAAGATGTCTGCAACAACTGCACTCACCAGGGACAGCAGCCACGTCACCAGGGCCTGGTAGATGTTGGCAGCTCCCTGCACCTTGTCAGGCACCTGCCCCTCACACTGATCCGTGGCCACCTGGCCACAGCTTGCCAGCCAAATGGTCAGCAGCAGCAGCTCCTTTCTCACACTGCAGGATCCAGGCAACGTGGCAATAGCTGGCAAAAAAGAGGCTTCCTGTCCAAAAAAAAAAAAAAAGATAACATGAAAATGAAAGTCATTTGGATTACTGGAAGTGTATTCATCATCAGGAATTAATTACATTCATTGCCATCACAGGAGGGGCATTTAACACCCAGAGAGCCTTTATCAAGGAGGGAGAATGAGCCAGAAAAGCCAGGTTGTTCCATCAGTGACACCTGCCTGAGCACTGCAGGTTTTCTTGGACAGCTGTCACCTGGGCCCTCATTTAGTCACACACTGCCTGGAGAATGGAGGGTTACACAGTCACAGCTGGAAAAGCGTGATTGAATTTATTCTGTATTCAAGACTCAGTGTTTGGGGCCTTTTTTTTAATCACTGAAAAGCCCTCAAACAAGTCTGATAGTGTGAAAACTCATTATTTTCTGCTTCACCTAACATCCCTAATTTCAGAGATGAGGTCACAGTTAAGGGAACTCACCTCCTTTCTTTACTTCAGCATTGATAGTTGGTTATTTAGGATGCAAATTCCCTCTCCTTTGAGAGAACTGTTCAAGACACAACTTCAAGCTTGAACTGTGGACTTGCAGTTTTTTGTCCTTCCACAGATGCTGCAGCTGTAATTATTGGCTGTCTTCTTCTTCCTATCTATATTCAACTTGCTGCCCATGACATTTCTTTGGAAAATTAATCATAAAATCCCAAATATTCTCCACTACTGCTCCTCAATAGTTCCCATCACAGAATCATGGAAGGGTTTGGCTTGGAAGGGGCCTTAAAACTCATTTTCTTCCACCCTCTCCCACAGGCAGGGACAACTTCCACTGGACCAGGCTGCTCCAAGCCCCATCCAACCTGGCTCACATTTTCAGTTGCTCCATGTAGCCCATAACGAGGATTTCTGCCCACACCTCTACACTGAATGAACCTTAATTTGATTTACCTGAATTTACTCTGAAAGCAAAGTAAGCTAAATCCAATTACAGTCACTTTAATTCTGAATTAAAATGTCCAAAAGTGTGTTTCACAACTAATCCACTTGACAAGTTAATGTAGCTTGACTTTTGTGCTGGTCCTCAGAACAGACAACTCCTTAAAATGGTTTAATAAGGACTCAAACTAAAGCAGCTCTACTGTGTCACCCAATGTTTTGGCACCAAATAAAACTGTAAATTAGTAATAAAGGCAAAATAGCCATGCAAATGTGTGTGATGCTGCAGATTTGTATTGATTCATGTCCTGGGGTGACAACAGAATTCCTCAGGGCTTTGACCCCTCCACTGAAATCCCCTGAGGAAGAGACCTTGGGAGAAACTCTGGGACCATGAGGGAAAAGTGACCTTCCAATACATCCTGTGCTGGAGGACGGATCCTTCCCTCCTCCCTCAGCAAGGGTGTGGGGATCAATTGAAGAGCTGATGGCATAAACAGGATCTGTAAGTAATGTTTCAGCAGGAAATCTCCAACTATTCCAAACTTCCTAGGCCCAGAGGGTTTTCTGACCAAAATCAGATAAATTTACTCATTAAGGTCCTTTCTGACTGAAGTTCTGGTGAAGGTTGGATCTTCCCTCTCCTGCCTCTGGCAGTCTCCTCCTCACCCCAACAAGAATCTAAGTGCAGAGCTTGAATAAATTCTGAAGTATTAAGACTAATGAACAAAAAATGAGCGAGTCCAGTTTAATTCTGGGCAAGAACAGCTGAAGAAAGATAAAACTGGTGCTTTCACAGTATGGCTTCCCACAGCACTGCCCAGTTTACCCCAGTCTGCAGAGGAGAGTTCAATCTGCCCATGTTACACTGGCTTTTATTTGTGAAGTATTAGGTTATAAAAAGCCCAAAATTACTGAAATGCTGGGCTATTTTTGGTTGCTCTGGCTGGAATTGTGCTGTCACTCAGAGATAGGCTTGCAGCTGATTGCAGTCAAGTGCCAACAATTACCAAAGAGTAAATAAGATAAAATTTCCTATTCCCAAGTTTTTGCTATTTTATTTTGCAATTATAGTTTATGTCATTACAAGTTCCAGCCCTTCAGCTCAGTTTCCCAACCTCCCTCCATCCCCAGCTCTGGCCTTTTTAACTCTCACATAACACCAGTGCAAGGAGGAGCAGCAACCACAGTGAAATATCCATGATAATCCCAAAGGAAGCTAATATTCATTAAAAACTCATTTTAAAAAGTGGAAATTTACCTTCATATTATGATTATTTTAAACCAGAGCTGTTTATGATAACAGCAAGCCAAGGCCTGGTGAGCACAAGATTGCCAGCCAAGATTAAGATCATTTTATTTCTAATAAAACAGCTCAGAGTGGTTCAATGATGCTTTGTTGATGTTTTTTAAAAGAGTAGTTAGCATTACTCTTCCTACACATCCATGTTAGATTGGACAAAGAGTTTCAAAGACTGGGAAACATTCATGCCAAAGCTGTGAGAGGCTGGAATGGCCAAGTTTAGGAGAACTTCACAAAGATTTCCCAGCAGAATCAACCCATCAACCCAAGGAGTTGCCCTAGTGGCAGGATAGGCTAAGGAAAAACCAATTTTTTACTTTAATAGACACAATCTCTCCCTTTGAGGTAAATAAAACTTCAATATTTCCCTCCCAGCACCTTTTCCAACACTAACATGGAAGCAAGGCAGCATGTTGCACCCAAATCCCCTCCCTACTCCACTGGACAGACCCTGCAGCAGCAAAAGCTCCATCCAAACCTCCCCTGCTTGCAAAAGAAGAGAAGTTAAACTCACAAAATCTCCTCCTTCACCACAGAGGGGTGAGTGAGGGGCAAGGGGAGGAACAGCAAGGCTGTCACTCTCATTGGCTGGAGGTTTAATCAAAATAATTGTTTCCAGCCCTGTCTAAATTTATCCCCCTATGTCATCTGCACCCTAGCTCGGATCCCAGATTTAAGAGGCAATCCCTGATGAATGGCAAATTACTGACTGCAGAACTCTTTTGCCAAAGGATGCATCTGCTGTGGGTTTGTAAATGTGAGCTGATTTCTAAGTGCTGGAGCAGCTCAGCTCATTTCTCTAATGAACCTTCCCCTCTCATTGCACAGCTGCTCTGGCATTGCATGTTCTGCTCTGCCCTGCTCAGAGCTCCTGGTACAGGACATAACCATGATCATTGTGTGGTTATATCCCCATTCCCCACACAGTCATGTGGGAAATGCAGGATTTTTAGGACACATTTAACAATTCTGGCCATCTAAAGCAAAGCAGATTATCACTATTCCATGGCTTCTAAAAATTCTTGCATTAGATGAAGACATATTGGAAATGTCAAGTGTTTGTTCATTTTCATTCTGTGGGGAAGGAAAAATGATGACAATGCCATCTGTTAGATGATTTGAAACTCCACATTAAAGTGTGGAATAAACCCTGAAACCATTCAAAAAACTGCTTTATCACTGCAAAGTGGGAGCAAGGGGTGAGAATGAGGAGAGGATCTGCAGTTTCTGCATGCACTAGCAGAACACTCTGGAATTAGGAAGTTGACTTTTCCACACAAAAAGGAGAGCACAACTGATGTTTAATGGTCTGAATGGTCTTTTTGTAAATGCATTTCTGTAGCAGAGTCATTCTGTGGCACCAGTGCCTTTCTGAGCATCATGCTGAGGTTATGGACCTGAAAAACACGATGGGGGCAAGATGGCACTGAAATTTCTGATGTGGATGAGGCTCAGATTGCTCAAATGGAGGAATTATGGTGCTCCAAAGCAGATAACTCTGCCAAGGGAGGCTGCAGGGATTCAGGGAGCTGTGTAATGGAGCATTATTTGCTCTGATCTCCATAGTTTTCAATTCACTTAGGGCACTCCAGATCATGAGAATTGAAGTTAAAAATATAATAATAAACAAAATGTCCTTGCTGACAGTTTTCTTGCTCTGGACAATTATTCTCAGTCTTGGGTATGAAGAATAAAACCTCTTAACTGCACTAAGGGAATTCTCAGCTGCTTCACTGGAGTTAATGGCTCATCTATCAAAGATGTGGATAAATCTGGTCCATAGCATTTGTTAGCAGAGAGATGCTGTGGATCACACAGGATCAAAATATTTTTGGTCCAAATTCAACAAATTAAAAAATCAATTTGAATAACCTGTAACAAACAGCTTTTTTTAACATATAATTTCTTCTTTATTTTCTAGAAGTAGGAAAATTTTCGTTAAAAGGCTCATCTCAGGTAAACACTGACCTGAGAAACGCATTAAAATTTAAACCAAAGCAACACTGAGTCTTATTTGAGTTTGTTTGCTTTCCAAGCCATAATCATTAAAAATGAGAAGTGCCTTTTCCATGATTGGTGTTTACACTCCAGTAACACTTGGAGAGGCTCAGAAGGATTCCCAGCCTCATTGTGCTGGTGTTCTGAGCACATGTAACAAAAAGTTCCTCCTCTAATGAGTTTATACTCCTGGTTAATGAGAAGCAGCTGAAATGAGTAAAGGAAGTTTAATTACTTACACATTTCATGTGAGCACAAGACTGGGAATGGGGAACTTGTGCCTCAGTCCTGGCTCTGGAATGAGGTATTTCTCTGTGGAACTGTAAAGTGAGGATAATATTTCCTTATCCTGGTCCCTGTCTAGCTGGATTCATTATCAAGACTCTGTAAAGTGCTCTGAAGAGGAAGAGTGTAAGATAATCAACAAACTTTCAAAATTAACCTCTGTTCCCTTTCCTAATCCTGAAAGCGTTGTGGCCTCTCAGCCCTCTCAGTGTGATCTTATCTGCATGTTCTACTTGTTCTTCAAAGGATTCCAGCCTGGCTCACACATGAGATGTGCCAGCACTTCCAGATCCTCCCAGGGAAGGGAATTGCACCTGCTCACCTAGAAATGCTGGGACAGAGCTTGGAATTGGTCCTCAGCCATCTGAAATCTAGGCTGGCATTTGGCACGTGCTCCAGGCTGGGTTTGAATCCTATGGGAATGGCTCTGCTTGGATTCTCCAGGAGATTCCCAGGGGGGTGGAACAAGAGAATCTTTAAGGTCCCTTCCAACCCAAACCATTTGGGATTGGTTCTATG